GGAAAAAGGGGCATGCTCCAGGCAGAGGGAAGAGCACATACAAGTCCCTGAAGACTAGGGAGAGAGACCACGGCGTCTAGAACATGGCGAAGAGGAGGGGGAGGTGAGACTGCAGTGGTTGGCCTAGGCCAGGTCATGCCGGACCTTGTGGGCTGTAGTGAGTGAGGAGTTTGAATGCAGGATGCAGGGGTATTGGGAGGGTCAAGCTAAGAGTTTCCAATCTGGACCACTCTGCTTCCCTGAAACACCACAGACACCCCCTCCAGGAGGCAACTAGGATTGCTCAGTGGGGAGTGGGCCCAGCCAGCCAGTAACACTCACTACTCAATGCTGGACATGGAGAAGCCAGCAGTTACTAACCACCCGGGCTCTACCCTCACGGAGGTCACAGCAGGACACACACCCAAGCATGCACACCCCACTCTTCTCGTGCTTCAGAAACTCTCACAGACATTTCTTTTGGAGCCAAAGCCTTGGCATCACCCAGGGGCTGCATGGAAACACAAAAGACTATACCAGATGTGAGTTGTAACCAGATTCCCCAGCTTACTTGACTTCACATAACAGCTGAGAAGCACTGTTCTCAGGTTTAACCTCCCTGTGCCTTGGTTTGCTTCTCTGTACAATGGGGACAATAACTTACTTATGGGGCTGATGTGCTATGAGGATTAACCGAGATAATGCATGCGAGCAGAGCTAAGTGTTTACTTTCCGTATCTTCCTCCTCATTTTTATTATGAAATTTCAGAACTGGAAAGGACTTTCAGAGCCCATGGTCATCCAACCTCCTTGCTCTATGGATGGGGAAACTGAGGAACAGAGTAGCAAGGGTTTTGCCAAAAGAAGAATGGAAGAATGTGCTGAGGGCTCCCTTTGGCAGAGTTGGGTCCCCGGGGCTATTTACAGGATGCTCTGAGCAAACAGAGCTGGCACTGCCACCCCACCCCCAACAGGGGCAGAAGGCTGAGGGCTCTGCCTGCTCCCCCCCACACAGATCCAAGCCCTCGGGAGCCAGAGCAGGGGTCCTGCCCTCTCCTCTACACTCAAGTCCTCCTCCTCCTGGAAGTTCCCTGGGATTCAGCCTCATGGCAAAAGACTTGCCTTACCCATGCCATGCTCTGGGGGCAAGGTGTTCATGTCCATGTGTATGTTTGAGTAAGACTCTGTGTGTGTGTGAGAGTGAGAGTGTGAGTGTGTGTGTGTCTCCAGGGCCAATTTTTACCTTAGGCCCTAGGGCCCATGATAATTTTAGAGGCCCATCGAAGTGTTTAATTTCTTTTAAAATCAAGGAAGAACTAAACTTCTAGGTCAAATGAAATGTTTTAATATTTAATATTTGTCTTTATACCAATGTAGTCATGATAAATAATTTTAAAGATGTCTTTATGGAGAAAGAGGCCCACAAAGGCAAAAGGGCCTGGACCCATGAAAGCTATAATGGGATCTTGTGTGTCTCTGCTTCTGGTCACGTCTCTATGAGGGTCTGCAAAGGTCACGGTTCTATGAGGGTCTGCAAAGGTCTGCATAGCTTTGTTTCAAAAACAAAATAAGGCCTTCCCTGGTGGCGCAGTGGTTAAGAATCCGCCTGCCAATGCAGGGGACACAGGTTTGAGCCCTCGTCCCGGAAGATCCCACATGCGGCAGAGCAACAAAGCCCTTAAGCCACAACTACTGAAGCCGGCGCGCTTAGAGCCCATGCTCTGCAACAAGAGAAGCCACCACAATGAGAAGCCTGCGCACCGCAAGGAAGAGTAGCCCCCGCTTGCCGCAACTAGAGAAAGCCCGCGCGCAGCAACGAAGACCCAATGCAGCCAAAAACAAAATAAATAACTTTTTTTTAAATTAAAAAACAAAACAAAACAAGTGCCTACAATGTGCCAGGCATGTTCCAGAAGCTTTACTGATATTCATTTCACATAATCCCCTCACCAGCCCCATGAGCTGGGCACTATTCCTGCCCTCCTTTCCCCAGCGAGGAAACTGAGGCTCCAGACATCACTAGGTCAAGTTCACCCAACTACTAAGTGGTGGGGCCAGAATGTAAGCCCAGGCCACCTAGATTCTGGGTCTGCCTGTCGGGGGTTGAATGTCCAACGTCTGCATGAGTGTGACCATCTGCGTGTGAATATATCGACATATATAACTCATTTAATAATAATTAAAAGCAAAGGCTCTGAAGCCCCGCAGCCTACATTCTTATCCCAGCTCTGCCACTAATTTGCTGTGTGACTCTAGGCAAGTGACTTCATCTCTCTGGGCCTCCATTTCCTTGCCTGTAAAATGATAGTTCCTACCTCATAGGAGTGTTGTGAGAATTAAATAAGTTAATATGAGTGCTCAGAAGAATTACTCTTGTTATTGTGTGTGAGGAGCACCACGTGCATCTATAGTGAGGATGTGTGTGTAATGTGTGTTGGTAACCATGTGAACGTGTGTGTTTCTATCTGCAGGTGTGTGTGTGCGTGAAGCTGTTTCTCTGTGTGGCGGTGTGTGTTGCTGCTTGTGGGTGGATGTCGGAATGCCTGTGTGCCCCTGTGAGTATATTTGTGGATGTATGGGCCACCTGGGGCGGGGTGTGAAGGTCTTTGGGCAGGTAGGGTAGGTATTTGTGTGTCTCCTTTATTCCATGGGAGAGGAGATGAGGGGCTTGGACAGGATAGGAATGAGGGGTCACTCCCTGTCTGATGCTGGGGCCGAGTCACTGCCTGCTAGTGGTTGCCATGTCAACTCCTAGTCCCTATCCCTCCTCCCAGACTGGTTGCAGACAGAGGGGGCGTGGGGGAAGAGGTGTTTGAGGGTGGGCTTTTGTCAGGAAACCTCAGTCTCCCTGTATTGTCCCCCCGTCCCCTCAGCCTTCCACGTCTCCCTACCCCTTCCCCACTATTGGGACAGAGAATCAAGACTCTCCTGGGAATTAGGAACCACCCAACCCCTCCAGCTTGGCTTCATACCTGCTGTGTGACCATGAGCCAGGCCCTCCCCCTCTCTGGGCCTGTGGGATTCAACAATTTTAAAGTGCTTTGCCCTCTGTGCCCTGGCTGGGCCAGGCTCTGCACTGGGAGGGAAGTGCCAGAAAGTCAGGTTTCTGAAGCAGCTAGTGAGATCCTTACCAGTGGATGCCTAAGGGTTGGAGGCTGGGGTGTCTGAAATACCCTAATTAGGCTCTTGAACTACATTTCCTAACTGGGTGGCTAGGTAAGCAGCCTTCCCCTCTGAGCCTGGGTTACAATAGTGTACGCTGTGTGCAGACAGGATAGGTCTGCAAGGCTTATAATTCCCCACCAATGGAACTGTCATTTAAACAATCCCAACACCCAGGTTTTTCAGGGAGTTTCACTGAACCAGGCAGCTCTCAGAAGTCAGGAAGAGAATAGGAATCCTGGGTTTGAATTTCTTGATGAGATGGGATCTTGGGCAAGTCACAAACTCTCTATCATTTTCCTTTTTTATAAAATGAAGATTTTTCCTCCCTTAACCTTCCAAAGCTGTTTTAACGATTGTAAATCTTGTATTGAAAGGCTTAGTACAAGAGCCGGTATTTGGTAAGTGCTAAACACATGGCATTTATTATTATTATTATTATTATTATTTCATCATCATCATTATTATTACTATTATTATTTATTATGCCCCACACACACATACATTATTTCTGACTACGGATAGAATTATAAAGTAGAAAGTAGAGGTTAACAACACCATCAGCAGGAGGGACACTTCACCCTGTTTTATTCCCCATCCCCACCAAACCCCCGTACCTCCCAAACGCCGCTGGATCTCTGGGGGCAGCAGGGTCCAAGACACACATCCTTTGTCCATCCGGGAAAAGTGAAGCTGAAGCTCAGAGAGAAAAGACGTTTTTCAAGGTCGCACAGCCAGTCAGGGCAGAAGCTGGTATGAGCCTCGGGACTCCACCCCCACTTCCACTTTCACCTGGAGCATCACAGCCTCTCCCACCCGGTTCGGGACTCAGTTTCCCCGCCTATGTGACTACACCACAGAGCCAGAGCTGCTTTTGGAGATTGACCTTATTCTTGAGAGAGAGCGCTGCACCACCAGGGGAAATGGAAGGGGCGGCCAGAGGTGAGGGGGACCCCCATCTGGGGTCTTCCCTGCGGGGATCCTCCGCTGGGTCAGTCTAATAGCCTATTAATATCAGCCCCCGGGGCGGCGCTGCACTGCGCAGGCGCGGGCGGGTTCCGCAGGCGCGCGGGGTGAGCGCACGAGCGAGCGAGGGATTCCCTCTGACGTAATTGCTAGGATACCAAACAAACACTCAGCAGCGCCGGCCAAGCTCCTTATATGGCTAATTGCGTCACAGGAACTCCGGGGAGACCAGGCCGGGATCCCCTCCCGCCGAGTGCTTCAGAACGCAGCCCCCAAGACCCTCAGGGCCGCGAGGGTGATGCAGGTGATCAGATCGAGGCTAGGGCAGGCCTGTTGCCGGACGGTGCGGGGCTGGGTTCACCAGGGCCGGAGATATTGAGAAGTTCGCGGAGCGCGGGAAGGGTGACGTAAGCAGGGGGGCCGGGCCCCGGACATATAAATACAGCGGCTCTGGGCTTCATTCATAAGACTGAGAGCTACGGCCAAGGCTGGGATACGCGGAGCTGGGACTTGATTGTAGTGGTTCTTCGTCTTGGGGGCTGTGAAATTCAGTTTATTATTTTTCCGGAAAGTTTTTGGAAGGATTCTTCTAGATAATTCTACATTTTATTTTGGAGGATCGACTTACTTTTTTTCGTCTTCCTTATTACTCCCCTCCCCCCGTGGGACCCGCCGGACGCGTGGAGGGGACCGCACCCGAAGCAGATTCTGTACAGCAGGACAGAGCTTTCCGCCTCTGGGGGAGCGATCCCCCCTCGCCCCCGGGTCCTACGGAGCCTGGACTTTCAGGAGGCACAGCGGCATCTTGTGGGGGCCTGGGCACCGCAAAAGAATTACACAGAAACTTTGCCTTTGTTGGAGCGGGACGCTGCCCCCATCCCGAGTTTCCCCGGACTCTCACCTTTCTTTCCCCCACCCGGCCATAGCCTTGGCTTCCCGGCGACCTCAGCGTGGTCACAGGGGCCCCCCTGTGCCCAGGGAAATGTTTCAAGCTTTCCCCGGAGACTACGACTCCGGCTCCCGGTGCAGCTCCTCACCCTCCGCCGAGTCTCAATACCTGTCTTCGGTGGACTCCTTCGGCAGTCCACCCACCGCCGCCGCCTCCCAGGTAAGTTCTAGAGGGTTGGGGTGATGCTTTGTGGTTTATAATTTTTTTAAAGTCAAGGGTGGAGAGAGCAATCCCCCCACCCCAAATAAAGACGCGTCAAAATCCAGGATCTGAGAGGGGATAGGCTCACGGCGCACTCTGCAAACTGCAGAGTCCGGACGTGCTTGCAATTGGTTGTGTGCGTGGAACGCAGGGAGGGAGCACAGAGGGGTGAGCTTTGGGGGTGGGGTGAGTACGCCGTTCAGTGCAAGGTGTATGAGGTAGCAGGGCTGAGAACTTTTAGCCGGCTCGGGGACTGCCCCCCACTCAGCTCACCAACCTGAAGCTAGCGCGGTTAGGCAGGTGGGGGAAATCCCGGGGAAGCTTCCAGTAGCCTCCTCCCTTTTTCCTCCTCCATCCGAGCGCCTACTCCGGCGCCGGGTCACCCTCGACCCAGTGGGAAGGCGGGCCTCGAACCCTCAGTGGTGCTGCCTCCGCCTCCTGCGCGGAGACGTAACGGGGAACCCGTGCGTAACGGCTGACGCGCTGGAATCCTCCGTCTGACGCGGGGCACGCACGGCGCGTGGCGCCCCCTTCGTCCGCCCCGCCCCTGACGTCCCGGGAGCGTTCTATTTTGGAACGCCGGGGCCACGTTGCTAAGGGAGGGGGCAGCCCGGCATTCCGATTGGCCGCCGCGGCGCACGCTTTGGCCAATCAACTTTCCCTTCCTATTTGTAGGGCGCAGTTTCCTTCCCCCAGTTCGTCCCCGGAACCCGTGGTTCTTCGGCACTAGGGTCTCTTTTACGGGCCTCTAGAGGCAGAGCGAAGGGATTCCTGTCGCCACAGGAGCGATCTTCTGCGATCCAATGAGTCCGCAAGGACCTTGCCGGGATCCTGTCCCTCCGCTCTCAGGGTCAGAGGGTGTCTGTGTGCCGGAATTTCTTTGGGAGACATAGTGACCGTCACCCACTTCTCCAGGCACACACAGATACATTCCCACTCCTAATGCCCCCGACGCCGGGTGTCTCCGGTTTGTCCGAAGACAGGACTAGAACCGCTAGCCCTAGGGGAACCAGCCAGGTGGTCTCCAGGAGCCCCGCCCCCTCTGGGTTTCCAGGATGCTGATTGGCCAGCGAGCCAGCCTGTCCCTCACCACGCCCCCTGGGAGAGTAGTTAAGCCTTCCGAGCAGTTCTAGGATTACATTTTGGGGGTGGGGGGGTGGGGGAGATGAACGGTGCTTGGGCTTGGGGTCTCGGGACCTACACCACTCCACCTCCGCGACAGTCTGAGGGAGCCTGGCTGCCCACTTTCTCTCCTTGTCTGCCCACCGTAACCTGTCGCTTGTCAGTCTCACTCTGGGGAGAGACAATTACTTGAAACGTTGTTCCAAACTCCTAGGCCCGTCCCCAACACCCTTTTAACTGGGACCCCCGCCCCTGCACGGGGGTCTCATGGACCCTCCAGTCTCTCATCCCCTCGCTCAGAGGGGTGTGTATATGTGTGTGAGTGTGGAGGGAGGCTTAGCCTAAGGCCTCTCCCTCTCCCTCCCCTTGCCTCTGGGGTGGGGGTGGGGTGTTGTGGCTGTGTGTGTGGCTGTGACTCCATCCCGGGGGTTCTGTCACCCGGCTGTGTCCAGCCTCCTCCCCACCCCCCACACCTAAGAGTCACCAACCCGGGGTGTGATTCACCACCCGCTGGAACCGTGCAACCTTTCCCCGAGGAAGAAGGAGGAGGTAGAAGCCAGTTGCACAGAAATCCTCTCATTAACCACTGCGTCACGGTGTAGTGCAAGGGTGGGTGTTGTGGCTTTTTGCCTGTGACACACACATCCACACCCGCTGGCCCTGTGCTCACTCACAGGGTCGGTGTGTGTATGTGTGTTGGGTGTGTGTGTGTCGGTGTCTCTGTTTGTGTGTCTACGCCTGTGTGTGTATGTGTCACCCCGTAGGAGTGCGCCGGTCTTGGGGAAATGCCCGGTTCCTTCGTGCCCACGGTCACCGCGATCACAACCAGCCAGGACCTCCAGTGGCTCGTGCAACCTACCCTCATCTCTTCCATGGCCCAGTCCCAGGGGCAGCCACTGGCCTCCCAGCCCACAGCCGTTGACCCCTATGACATGCCAGGAACCAGTTACTCCACGCCGGGCATAAGTGGCTACAGCAGTGGCGGAGCTAGTGGCAGTGGTGGGCCTTCCACCAGCGGAACCACCAGTGGACCTGGGACTGGACCTGGGCCCCGCCCAGCCCGAGCCCGGCCTAGGAGACCCCGAGAGGAGACGGTGAGTAAAGGGCATCAGAGCTTGCTCTGGGCGCGGGGGCGGGGGTGGGGGCGGGGGAGGAAGCAAGAGAGGCAGGAACTTTCCCACTGTTGGGGTGAGGGACCATCTGCAGCCTCAATGCTGCAGAAACCCTATCATCCTCCCCACAGTCAGTGAGGTCTAGAAGGTTCTTCTCTGACTCCTGGGGATTCTTGAATCAGAGGAGTTTCGGGGTGGATGGGGAGGAACACATGTCCCCCAAATCTCACTACCTCTGTCTCCCCTACTCAGCTCACTCCAGAGGAGGAGGAGAAAAGAAGGGTTCGCCGAGAACGAAACAAACTGGCAGCAGCAAAGTGTAGGAACCGGCGAAGGGAGCTGACTGACCGACTCCAGGCGGTAAGGATGGGCCCTGGGGCGCGGTGAGGGTATGCTGAAGGGGGGCTCTCTCCCCATCTTCTGTTACCCACCACCACCTGTGCCCTTATCCTGGACTGAGAACCAGAGGTTCCACATGTGGAACTAGGTACAGACGGGGTCACCCAGCTCATACATGCAGGCTCTCACATACTCCTGGCTGCTTCCTGTCCTGGTTTATGACCCCGGCTCCCCCCCCACCCACACACACACACACAACTTGCCTGGCCTTCACTTCATCCTGAGGGGACATATGAGTGAACTTTAATAGAGGGGCGCTCCAGTCATTTCCCCTTTTTGGTCTTGGGCAAGTGATAACCCATTTCTGCCTCAGTTTCTCCATCTCTTCAACTCCTCAGTGAATCTCCCAGGTTCCTGCTAGATTTAACATTCTGGAGAGTCTGTGAAACGAAATTCTTTGATTCTATATCAATTCCCCCACCACCTGCCCCAGCCACCCGTAGTTCTCAGAGCTTGGACTGGTGGCCTCTGCCATGATGCCCCTCTATTTTCATGCCCTACCTCAGTCTGAGAGTTTTCTACTTTATGCTTGCAGGGGTTTCCCTGCTAAATCAGGGAAATTCTTTACTTCCCTGAGCTACCTGGTCTCTTCCCTGGGAGGCAGAGGGGGGAAAGTAACAGAGGGGAATAGGTGGCCTTAGAAACATATAACGATCGTTCACTCACTCAACAAACCTCTTAGTGCCTCTTGCAACCAGAGACTTCCTATGTGTACCTGGCCCTTTCCCAACCATCCACTGGACAGATGGGGAAACTGAGGCTCCTAGAAAGCAAGACCCTTGCCCCAAGTCCCATAGCACACCAGGCCTCCATCTCAGGGGGTCTTTCAGTCCAGAGCTGCCTTCCAACCCTGGGCCTCCGCAGTCAGTCTAGGAGAGATGGCTTCAGCCATGACTCACCTTCTCTAGTTGCTCACGGCCTTTTTCTCCTTCCTTGCTCTTCTCTGCGACCTGGCCGCCCGGGCCTCAGGAGACAGACCATCTGGAGGAAGAAAAGGCGGAGCTGGAGTCGGAGATCGCTGAGCTCCAAAAGGAGAAGGAACGTCTGGAGTTTGTGCTGGTGGCCCACAAACCGGGCTGCAAGATCCCCTACGAAGAGGGGCCCGGGCCGGGCCCGCTGGCGGAGGTGAGAGATTTGCCGGGGTCAGCATCCACTAAGGAAGATGGTTTCAGCTGGCTACTTCCGCCCCCGCCACCACCGCCCCTGCCCTTCCAGACCAGCCAAGACGCACCCCCCAACCTGACAGCTTCTCTCTTTACACACAGTGAAGTTCAAGTCCTCGGCGACCCCTTCCCCGTTGTTAACCCTTCGTACACTTCCTCGTTTGTCCTCACCTGCCCGGAGGTCTCCGCGTTCGCCGGCGCCCAACGCACCAGCGGCAGCGACCAGCCTTCCGACCCCCTGAACTCGCCCTCCCTTCTCGCTCTGTGAACTCTTTAGACACAAAACAAACAAACACACAAGGGAGAGAGAGATTTGGATGAGGAGGAGAGAGGGGAAGAGACAAAGCGGGCGAGTGGCCTCCCTGCCTCTCCTGTCTGACCCTCCGCTGCCACTGCCGTCGGACAGGAGGACTTCCTTGTGTTTTGTGCCGCCTCTTGTTTCTGTGGCCCGGCGAGACCGGAGAGCTGGTGACTTTGGGGACAGGGGGTGGGGAGGGGATGGACACCGCCCCCCGGCTGCCTGTTGGCCGTCTCGCTTCAACCCAACCTCTGGGGATGGGGGAGTGGGGGCGGGGGTGATGCCCACATTTGGGCTGGAGGGAGAGGGGTGCTGGCGGTGGGCTTTGGGGTGAGCTGTAGTCCTCTGCAGAGAGGCCCAACAAGGAAATGCCACAGGACCCCCAAAGAGTCTCCCATGCCCACCCTTCAAGGGGTGACCAGGCTGGTTCTCCCTGCTCGCCCCCCACCACCTTAGCTTATTTATCCAACATTTCCATGTGGGTAGATCCTCCCCTGAATTGAGCCCCCCTTTAAAGGGAAGTTGATGCCCCCCTATGATGATCCCCTTCCCCCCCCACCCAGACTTAGTCTGAAATGTGAACCTCCCTCCCTGACCGTCCAGCTGCTCCCTCCCAGCGAGACTGGCTGATTTAAATTTCCTGAACCCTAAGGATCCCCCCCCACCCCGCACATTCAGCCCCCAGCCCTCTTTTCGGATTATAGTGTTAGTCTACCCTCCCCCACCGCCCGTCAGCCTCCCCTCCGGGCCTTCCTTGTTGGGCCTCTCTGATTCAGGCAGCAGTGGGTGCTGTGATGCCTGTCCCGCGGGAGTGTTTTATACTGTGAAATGAGTTGGCCGGATTGGGCGGGGGGAGGAGCCCGGTGGGACAGAACCCCTCCGGAGGGACTGTGCCGCCCACTCCCCAAAGCCCTTCCGTGGTCCCCCCTCCCCCACCTGCCTCCTTCCTCCCCTCAAAATGAGTTTGACTCAAGGGGGTGACAGAATCCAGAGGGGCTGACACTTATCCATTCGCGTGGCCTCTCTCCTCAGGACCCCCCCTCCCCCAAGACCAAGCCCTGGCCTTTTCCTTTAAGGCCTGTCACCCTAACCCAGCCTAGGACGCCAATTTCTCCCTCCCCTCGGCACCCCACATCCTTTCTATAAAGGGAGCAAGGGGAGATTGCCAGGGGGCCCAACGTTTTTCCGGAGAAGATTTAAAGGCTGAGGCTTTGAACCCGAAGGGGCTGGGCTCCCGCCGTCCCAGCTTCCCCTCCCCCTGCCCCAGCCCCAATTCTTGGTTTCGGCTCCCTCCCCCCTCCCCCACCTTTCCCTGTGTTTCACCTCATGAGAATTTTATCATGAGGCCAATTGATATTTTTTAATATCGGGTGGGTCACGCCGCCCTCCGTGCTGCATGGAGAACATTCCACTGCCCCGTCCCGCAGCTCCCGCCCTGAACCCAGACCCCCCCCCTCCCGTGGCTATTTATCCCTTTCCTGATTTTCGAAAGGCACTTATATCTATTATGTATAAATAAATATATTATATGTGGGTGTGTGTGTGCGCGTGAGTATGTGAGAGCTTCCGCAACCTTGTTCTAGGTCATGTTGGCCCTCAAAGCCATGCCGTTGAATTGGAAACACTGCTTCTGGAAACTTCGAGGCAGCCTGTCTTGGGCTGCCTCTGTCTCTAGCTGTCTCTTTTCTGATTGTCTCGGCCCCTCTGGTTGTTTTCTGGCCGTCTCTGGCTGTCTCTTTCCCGAGTGTCCCTTCCACTCTGTCTTTTCTCTGCCTGTTTTTACTTGACCGTTTCCATCTGACTGTCCCTGATCCTCCAGCGGTCTTCCGACTCTGGGTTCGTTGGGGACCTGAGATTTTATTTTTGTGAGTAACCCTGTGGGATTATAGATTTTTGTAATCTGTATCTTTGAGGATTCTGGGTGTGAGTGTGAAGCTGTGAGCAGGGCCTGCCGCTGCAGACCACAATTTATTGAATATCCAACTACCCCCACCCCATGCTGTATTTGTGATTCTCTTTTTGTATTTTGCACCTGACCCCTGGGGGGCTGGGGCTGGCTGGCACTGGGCCGCTACCCTCCCCTTCGTGGTTCTGCACTGTCGCCAATAAAAAGCTCTTAAAAGTGCATCCACCAAGCTTCAGGGTCTGTTTGCTTCTGACACCCATCGCCTGCCTTCCTTTCAGCATGAAGGAGTGAGGTTAGATTGCTATGGGACTGCACACGCACACACACACGCACACACATGCTGGAACTCTTACTAGTGAATCAGCCAACAGCAGGATGGAGGGAGGCTAGACAGTCAGGAGGACTTCCCACACACACAGGCTGTACCTCCTCCTTGAAGAAGTAATGAGGCAGAATATAAGCCATGAGGTGTCTGATACCAGAATGCTAAAGGTCAGGGAGGTTTCCTGGTGAGGGAAGAATTTATACAGTGAGCCCCCTGCATACAAACAAGTTCTGTTCCGAGAGGGCATTCGTTAAGTCCAATTTGTTCATAAGCCCAACAAAGTTATCCCAGGTACCCAGCTAACACAATCGGCTACATAGCACTGCACTGTAGTAGGTTTATAATACTTTCCACACAAATAATACATAAAAAACAAACACAAAAAGAAAACATTTTTAATTTTACAGTACAGTACATTGAAAAGTACAGTAGTCCAGTACAACAGCTGGCATCCAGGGGCCGCCATGGAGTGAAGAGGCAAGAAGAGTTACTGACTGGAGGAGGGAGAGGAGGTGGGAGATGGTAGAGCTGAAGGATCGTCAACAATAAGAGACGGAGGGCAAGCTGCAGTTTCACTCACGCCTGACGTTGATGGCACAGGTTCTCGTTTCTTGCTGGCCTCAATTCTATCTACCCTCTTGAAAAAACGATCCAGTGACGTCTGGGTAGTAGCTCTTTTTTGCTAGTCATCCAGTGATGCCTAGGTAGTCTCTCTTTTTTTCTCGTCATAGATGACATGGTAGCACTGGATTGCATTCTGAACGGCTGCTGCAACCTTCGTGTATCATTGCACATGAACTAACTTACATGATTAGGCATGCAAATGAATGTTCACATCTTTGAAAACTCACAACTTGAAGGTTCATATGTAGGGAACTTATTGTACTTGACCCTGTAATGTTCTGGGAATTGTCTGAGCAAAAGTTAGAGGCAGAAAAAGTTTATACTGTGAAGACCACTCAGGTATGTGGCAAGTCCTCAGCGTTATATGAGTCACAAAACTTGGATCACTTTTACAGTGAAGATCAGTTGCCTTTTGCTTTTTCACATGATCACTTCTTCTGGGTTTGGAACATATTGGGGACAAACCAAGATTGACTAAACCAAAACCATTGCCACTTTGTCCAAAGATACAGCTGAGCCAACCCCATTGCAAGATCCACACCTGCTCTCATTTGCATAGCAGCAAGCACTCTGGGGATGGAAGTACTGAGGTTGGATGTCTTAGTAAATGACTAAGCAGGGGAATTTGTCAGGATGGAATTACTTAATTTCTTAGTTAATTCACAAAATTTGCTAAGCATTTATCGTGTGCCCAGCCCTGTGCTGGGCAGGGTTGGGGATACTGCAGAGACTGAGACAGCCCCAGGCTCCCCCCTCCTAAGGTTCACAGTCCAGTGGGGGACACAGACCTGTTCATAGTCAGGGATGATCTAAATTGGACAGGGCCGGGGGAGTCCATGGGACTTGAGGGGCCCAGTGGAGGCACCTAAGCTGACCTGGGAGTCAGGAAAGACTTCCTGGAGGAGAGGATACCTAAGCTGAGCCTTAGAGGATAAATAGACAGCATAGAAGGGAATAGAAAAAGGCTGAGTCTAATGAAATAGTGAGTGCAAACAGCTGTGAGTGGGGAGAGGGCTTGATACATTGAGGGAGCTAGAGGTTCACAGGCGCTAGAACAAAAGGTGTGCAGGGAAAGGTTACCAGGGAGCAGATTCTTCAGGCTGAAATTCCAGACTAAGAGTTTAGATCTTCCCTTGAGGGTACTGGGGAGCTCTGGCAGGTTTTGAGCATAAGAAGGTCAGGGACAGGTTTGTGCTTTAGGAAGACTCCTCTAGCTGCCAGGTTGAGGGTAGCTGGGAGAGGAAGGGGGCAAGGATAAGACAGAAGATCAGAGATGAGGCTAGGGTGAGGACACTGAGATGTGAGGGGGAGCCTGGAATAGGACCAGGGCTGTGGGAGAGAGAGGAGGGGAAGGATTCAAAAGACTTTGAGGAGGCAGAACAGACAGGATGTGGTGAGTAGCTGATTTGGGAAAGACAGCACAGGGCAGTGGTAAATAGCATATGGGCCAGAGGTCTGAGAGCCCTGGGGCTGGAGGCTTCCCAAAGCTGGGTGACCTTGGACAAGAGACTTCATCTTTCTGAACCTCAGTTTCCTCAGCTGCAGAATGGGGCTGAGGGGAATCAGTGAGCTAGTACACGCCAGCGCTGAGCGCAGAGTAAAATGCACTTATCACCATCTTCATCGCTGTTATTGGGGCCACCCTGTTTCCCCGCCTGGAATATTCCCCCTCTCTGCTGGCTAATCCACTCTCTTCCTTCAGGTGTATATTCAGCTATTACCCTGACACCCTACCTGAACTCAGGTCTCCTTGTAAGATGTCCTCATAGGTTCTGTGCCTGCCTTCCCCGTACTTATCACTTTTGTAGTTGTTAATGAAATGGGTAATTGATTAGTGTTTAAAGTTTGTCTCCTCCACTTGACTGGGAGCACTATGAAGTCAGGGTCAGGATTTTGTCGTCACCAGTGTGTCCCCAGGACCGCTCAGTGCAGGGCCGGGCATAGAGCAACCACCCCGCAGATACTTGTTGAATGAGTGAATGAATGAATGAATGATCAAATGAATAAATATTTGCTTAGTAAGTGCATGCGTGATTAAGTACATGAGTGAGTAAATGAATAAGTGAGTAAGCAAGTGAAGAGGAGGAATCCAGGATCACTCTCAAACTGTAAATATCCTAGAACAGAGAGTGTAGACGAATTTTTCTTAATCTTTTAGAGTTCTTTGTTATTCGCGGAAAAAGAGAAACGCATCCACAGGGAGAGACCCAGGTGGGGAAAGAAAAGTTGCCGAGCGCAGAAGTGAAACAATGTTCTCTAAGCCAATTCGCACTTTATAACGGTTAGTTTGGATAAGAGAAAATACGACGCCCGAAAGGTGGAATTGAACCACTCTGTCGCTAGACAGCTACAGGTTTGAAGCCTGCACCCCAGACCACTGAGGATCATCCGGGCGAATAACTCGTT